AAAAGTAATATAAAGTTGAAGTACATAGAAATATTTGAAATGCTGCGTGAGAAGGAATTATTTTTTTAAAGGTACTTCTGGTTTATATTATCCAGAGCATCTCAATGGAATAGCCTTGTATTAATAATATCTCATCTATTATGTATATTGCGATATACCTAACACAATTGCTGAAGTAATTAGGTGCTGCTAATTCTTCTCTTTCTTTTTCTTTCCTCTCTGAGCAGGTAAAGAGATTAGGAGACCAGTTTAGAACAAAGTATACATCACACTACAGAATTCCCACAGATTAGCAGCATCAGCATTAAGTTTCTAATTTTTCTACTTTTACCTAAAAATCTGTGCTGCTCTTGAGCTCTTCTTCTATTCTGTCTCCATTTTAATGCCCACTGACTGCACTGTATCATAGCATCATTGCATTATTTATTTTTGATTGTTTAATATTTCACCAGAATTCTATTCTTCAACTTACTTTAATATAGTCCTTTTTTAAAGATGCAAAATAAGGAAGTTAGGGAATGAAGAAGTAGATGAGTTTTGAATTTTTAGTTTGAAAGTTCTGAATTAATCTGGATTAAAGAGTCCTGACTTATCTTGTCTATAATACACTGACCAAGTTTTGAGATGCCTTTTTGTCTGACAGATATTGCATAAAGCTTGATTATTAATAATTATTTTAAACCTTTTGTGTTTGAAAAGACACTGGGAAAAATGGAGAGGATTTAGAATTAAATCCGTGAGGCTTCAGCTGTTTTAGATTTTTTCCCCACTGTGCCTCCATAAGAGATTCCCTCTGTTAACTCATCACTAAAGCAATCGTGTACTACTTAACAGAGGTGCTATTTTCTACTTCATGTGTCTCCCTATGAATTGTGCAAGAGGCATTAGAGAGCCTTGCCTTCCACCAAACACATAAAAAGGCATAGCAGAAAAAGCTTTACTGATTTATAACATTCTCTATGCATTGCTTTTCGGAGGGAGGGAGAGAACTGGCAGTGGGTCATGCTGTGGAGCAGAGTCTGCAAGGACACAGGAAAATCTTTGCTAACCCCCAAAGACTTTGAATAGCTCCGTACAGCAGTCCTCATTATCATGAACACATTTTTCAGGCATTACTTAGAGATAATGTTAAAGAAACACGCCACAGTGTCTCATTCCTCTTCCTACCCTTGGCTCTTATGTCCACAATTCCCAGCTCGAGGGAAGGAGGGTGGGGAGCGAAGCCCAGGAATGCTCTAGGAGGAGGCAGATCACAAACATCCTCCCAGATGGCACTTCCCACTGCACCTCCCAGCCCCAGCTGTGGGTTTCCTGGGCTCTGATGGCAGTCCCACTGGGAAGAGGGGTGACTTTTCATCTATGATGAGCAGCCTCGTTCCCCTGACGAGGGGCTTATTTCCAGAGGAGTCCTATGGCACCAGCAGCCATACCACAGCTGGGCAGGAAGTGATCAAAAGTCAGCAGAAATGAAACAAAGTGCTTTTTGTCACTTGCCAGGCAGGTGACATTAAACTCTTCCACATCTTCTAGTGCTTGATCCATGTAGAGGATCCCTACAAACAGCAGCCTATGTTTAGGCAACTGGATCAAGCCATGTGTCTGTCATCCTTCAAATCTTGCGTGCTGTGAGGACCACAGCAGCTGAGAAAGTGCAAGTGCAGTGGCAAAAAGCATATTTCTGACTTCTAATATTTCTAGGTTCTGTATTATTCTCCCGTGTACAAACGTTAGGTCACGTGGTGTCAATGCAGATTTATTTTAGCTTGCTTGGAGGAAAAAAACAAAATAAACAAAGGAACTGTAAGGGGACACAGGGTCTCATCAAGAAAACCGAGTACATTGTGTTTTGAAGGATCCTCCATCTTCCATTGTCATGGAGTTCAGAATCACGCTCTCCAATTTCAAACAAAATTGAATCTTAACAGTTGCTGAGCTGTGTATGTGATGCACCGTGGGTTGTTTTTTCCACATGTGCCCGCAGCTCTATGGGTTTCTCTGTTGGGCCTGGCCCTCTGAAGAACATAATTGGGAGACTGCTCTGCTGAAATGCTGTGCTCTGCTTCAAGATTGTTTTCATTTGGGGCAAAAATTCAACCACTGACATTATTAGGCTGAGCAACATAAGGCCTAAGTACTAATCTGAGGTTTCTTAGTCAGTTCTTGACTTCTCAGACCTTCACTGTTTTGCCATCTGCTGTAATTGAAAATTGCCTTCTGCAACCAAAGGGAAAAATCTAATTTCTCAGCAAGCCATATGGGGTTATTAAGATCATTAGACCCTGGTATGCCATAATGCCTGGGCCAAAAGGACTACAGGGCATGTAAGTATTGTGTGATTCATTTTATAGTTTCAGGCTGCAAGTTAGGAATTATTTTGATGGCTATCTTATGATGAAAAGTGGTAGTCAAGTAGGTTACTGCAGATGTTGCCTGGTGAGGTCAATCCATGGCATGTTTGTTCAGAACTGTGACAGATGCGAAGTGGTTTTAATAGTGTTTGATCACAAAGGGTAAATCTTTTGTATCAGTCTGACAAATGATCAGTACCCAGCCAGTGTCTTCAGTTGTGCCAGTGATGCTAAAGGAAGCCTTAAATTTTGATATTAAGAAACCAAAGAATACAATTTCCACTTTTCAGGAGGACCCAGACTTGGCTTCTCATACAGGGTCTAAAGTTGATGATATAAACGGTACTCCTTTTCCTTCCTTAAAAATGCAAAAGCTATTCCTCTGCACATGACGGTTCTTGAAAACTTTAAAACTGAGCTGTTGGAATTTTTCTGTATTTCTCTAGTTGTGATATTTTGTAAGATTTCTTCCTAGCAAAATTCACTTCTATATATTTGATACAACTATGTGTGAGATTATTAACACTGATTTTTGGCTAATAAGGCTTCAGAAATGAATGCAGGAGCTGTGAAATTTACATGAAATTAAAGAAAGAATAGTTCAGTAAATGCAAATAAATGCAGAAATGAATATTTTAATTTGGATTCATGATTAATGCCAAAGGATTACCAGCAAACCATTACGATGTGCTGATGACATAAAAACTCAATGGGAATCAAAATTCTGTATGCATTAGTTAACTGATGGCAGTAAGCTATTTTTAGAAGGAGATCTCACAGTAATTTATTTCTTCTTTCTGAAAAATATAGCTATTGATTATATCTGACGTTTCGTCTTTATGATAATTAAGTCTGAGAATATTTTATAGTCGTATACTATTGTATCAGTTCCTGCATTTTACAGTGTGACAACTATGGTCAGTAGATTTATTCCTATTCAATTAATTATATTGAAAATAGGCATTACTGATTGCCGTTTTCCTTTGTGCTATGTAACTATAGGAGTTAAGGACAAATAGTTATATGTAAGAAAGAAAAATGAAGAATTTTTCCCTCCTTCAGTTTTCCAGTGATCTCAATCTGACTGCATATATTTTCTCTGTAGGTCATAGGTTTCTGTAGTTGTGGTTTCTGTTTCAAGATGACTGAAATCAAAGCATGTCTGAAGAGGTTTTAGTTTCTGTAGCACCTTGGTCAATGCATCTTAACATTTTGAAATCAAAATAATCTAAAGGAGGTAAAGAAACGTCTAGTTATATTTATACTGTCCAAATAGCTTCCTTATTTTAGTGTTCTTGGACATCACAGTTAGAATAAGGGAGTGAGCATTACCATTTTTACAAAAGTTGGGAATCCAGTCAGACTTTATATATGTTTTTTCTTTTCTAACATGGTCTTTGAGAAGCCATGAAAAACTGTGGTTGTTTTTCAGTTTGCATGAGGAGTACTTCTTTTGATTTTTGTTGTTGTTGTTGGGTTATTTGGGTTTTGTTAACAGGAATCTCACAGTCCTCCCCACTTCCTATGCTTTGGCTCCCCTAACAGAATACCCCACCTGAGGGAATACAGGTTGTGTCCCTGCTAGATGTGCACTTGGAGTGCACCTAATGTTCTCTAACCACTCATGGGCATTCAGGCTGTCAACCCAGAATGGTACTTGGAACGAGTCTGAAGGATGCACCCCCACAATGTGTGTAGGTTCCAGGTAGGCATAGCTTTACAGACAGAAAAGCTTAGGAAAATGGTGGGGATGAGTGGGAATGGGAGATGAAGACCTCATCGTTAAGTCAGGATCCTCAGACTTCCTATGGTGTTGCATGTAGCTAAATGAACCCTCTGCCACGACAGCATCACATCTCAATACCAACACGTTATTCTTCACCACTGTCTCTTGTGCGTTGGGCATAAGCATGTGCCTTCTCTTGTGTTGTAACTACTCTTTTGAAGTTATATTCATTTGAGATGTTTGTATGAAAAAATCCTCACCCTGCACTAATTGCAGTGTCCATCTTAATACATCTCATACAAGGGAAAAAACAAATGGAGACTTCAACGAGGAAGTGTTGCTGGCAGAACACGCATGTGCTAACAGAAACTACGATTAAAGGCAACACAAAATCCAGAAATAACCAGCAAAACCCTAACTCATCTGAAACTAATGGGAATTTCATTTCCACCATGGGCAAGTTTTGTTTCTGGATTCTTTATGCGTTGCTGGTGGTGCTGGTCTTTGATGTGGATTGCAAGTGAGCCCATGAGGAATTATGTCATGAAAATAATTTTAAGTCATCCCTGACCTAATCTCTCTGGAAAAAGATCAAGAGCTCATAATATCATTACTGTCCTATAAGGCTGAGCATGTTTATATTCGTATAGTTTCAATATTAAGGGTGCCCCGAACTGTGTACGTGACTCACCTGCAATATCTTTACCTGCTGCATTACCAAAGCAGTAAGTGTATACATGGCTATTGTGGCTTAATGTCTCAAATGTTGAGAATTAGTCCAATCTAAACATTAGTGCCATGTGTATTTTATTGATCCCTCTTTTCTTATTATTAGACTGATTCTTCCTGCACAGGATTTATTCATAGTCTTTGTTTAATTTTTGATTTCAGTCTCAGTAGTGTATCTAATCAATATTTATTTTTACCTGTGTGAATGATTCAGAGCATCATCAGGCTTCTTCAGTTTTAAGTAGCAGGTTACAAGCTTTGTCTCAATAAAACTGGCAATACTGGAAATATCCTCTGCAGATGACTTAAGGGGATTGTCTACAGCAGCACCTTCACTGCAAATCTGTACAAGAAAGAAAAACATTATTTACTAATATTATAATACAACTTTTGTTAGGGAGAAATTATTTTTGTAACTGATAAATAGGGAAAACTGACTTCTAAGTAAAATGCACCCTGAATTTAGTTAAAGTTAGCGCTACAAAAATCAACACAAATACATGTTGAACATAATATAAAATGCAGTGTCATCTTCCTGGAAGGGATAGTCAAGAAAGCAGGTAATAAGCTAAAAACTAAAAAGGACTTTAGGAAAGAAACTATGTTTTTCTGCATTTTCTAAAAATAAAGGCTCAACTTCAGGCTCTCAAAACCAGTGGCTGTCTTCCGCTTGAAGTCGAAGGAGGAGTCTCAACCACAACTATTTACTAATTTCAGTAAGTCAGTGGTGAACTCTGCCTTAGGCTCTGCTGCCTTTGTCCCACAGGTAGGAAAGAGGGTGATACAGTGCAAGGAAACCAGAAACTCTTCCCCCTCATTTAATGGGAGGATTTGTCCTTCCAGAAAACTGCTATAGAAAGTAATAAGGATGAGATCAGCCATCTTTCTCGTCTTCCTGGGTTGTATAGAATTTAGCAAAGAGAAACATCATATTTTCTGTTTAAAAAATACTCTTTTCCTGATAGATATATCACCCGCTGTTTATCACAGCCAGTGGCTTTCTCATTAATAATGTTCTACTTAATAATGTGTATCATTAGAGTTAGATAACCCACAACTCCTTAAAGTTTCAGAGAGCCCTCAGCTCTGGCAGATATGCAGCACTGGGCAGGACCACCTTTGGTCTCAAACCTTTGTTTTATTAATCTACAGGCAACCTGATTTTGTAACACCGAAGAGTAGTAAAAATTAGCTTTTAGCTCTTAAGAAAAGTCAACTGTAAGCAAACAGATTAAGTCTAGAGCCTTGTCTTTAAGGACAATAACCATATAGTGCTACTCATGACAATGCAATGGAATGTCCTTTGCTTGGATAAAGATCCCTAACAAGATGGTTTAGTGGCAATTACTTCACCTAAGTGACTTCACTGTGAATTAGCTTTAAAAGTAGTTTTCTAATAAAAGTTAAATAATTAATATTTATCTAGGGTGTGTGCTTAAATTCTTGGATCACACTGAGACTAGTGCTGAGGACCCTTACAGCACTGATATGCAACTGCAGCCTAATGTGTATGAACGCACCCTCTATTTTAAATGGGATATACTGAAGGAACCCTCCCTTAAGTCCAGTTTTGCCAGTCACCAAAGCTTTGCAGTGGATAGGAGGAGGATGTGGCCTGTTTGTCTAGCTCTTCATCACTAATGAGTTTAGTTAGACTAACTAGTTTCTTTTGCCTACATGGCTAAAATTCCGTGCTTGATCTTTAGGAGGTGCAATGTCAACTCAGCAGTTTGAGATCTCTTTAGAAGCTTAAATCTGTCAAGAAAAAAAGCTCTTCTGTATATGCGTCATTTTCTTCCTGTGTGTGATCCTTAAAAGCGAGAAGGATTATAGACCACATCCACATGTAGCACCTACAGAGCTAACCCTGTATTTAACATTTCTGTGCGTTGGTTAGAGATCAGCTCAGTTCTTTACAGGCAACAAGGGTCATTCAAGGAAGTGTCCCCCTAGTTTGGGTGTGATAAATATTTTTTTCTTTCACGTCTCTGCTGAGTGAAGTTACACAGTGTATATAATAACACCCATACATTTAAGATTTTCTATCATGTTGTTATCAGTAGAAGTTATAAATCAGAAAATTCATCTCTTTTAACTTTGCTCATGGTACCGTATATATCTGTTGAAGTGTCTCTCTGGATAAGACGTGCTATATGTAACTAAAAGACCCAGAGAATTATGTTCACATCAGTGAACATAAAAGTATCATCAAGTTTTTCTGTAATAACACTTTTGAGCTGAATTGGCCATGCTGTGACCTCTGTTAAATTTATGGGAATGAGAGATTTGAGGCTACTCCCTAGACTTTCAAGTTCTTGAATGATTGGGAGAAGAAAAGAATCATTTAGGAATCCCTTCAGTATAAAGTGCTGCAATTCAGTTTCCTCCAGTCTTATGGCTTGTATGAAGAGTTATGTTTAGACCTGTGTAACCTCTCTGCTATCTTTGACAAAAACCAAGACATGAGTCTCTGTAAACCACATCTGAACAGATAAGGATTCAGAAAATATGTTTAAATACAGTGAAGATTGGGTTCTGCCAGGTCTTCTCTAAGACATCTCAATGTAAGAGTTCAAATAAACGAATAATAGCTCAATCTTTAATCTCACAGCATCAGAATAACATGTCAGGATAACATTGCCCGTGTATGTGAGCATCTAGGTTGTATACTTTCTAGGTCCCAAACTCTCCTGATTTTGGTGTAGCATCTCTGCAGTGGATCAGTGCATTTGAGATAGACCCCTCCACAATAATTCCATACAAACAACAGTGACATGCACCAAAGATTCAACTTAATTTTACAGAAATGGCTCCTTATGTTCTAAGCAGAAGAGTTATGAATATACAAAATAGTGTCTGGTATTAGTGAGGTGCACAATTAAATGTACTCTCTGGTATAAGGGACTTCTTTGGTAGCCACATAGACACCACTGGAAAAAGTTTCTGTTGGGCGAAGCACCTCAGTGCAGCCTGAAAAGCACATCATCCTTTGTCCAAGCTCTGATGGAGATCATACCTTTTGTGTGTGGTTCTTCACCCTTTACTGTATTTTGCTGTCCTTTCTGATAAAAGGATTTGGCTGTGCAGCAGGAGAAGGACTGTTTCCTTGTGTTGTCCTGTCTGCCGCTGAATATTGAGTCTGACGGATCATTTCTGGGGGTTGAGGCAAAGACAGTGCCAGAAAGCATCTGAGAAAGGTCAACTGGGGAAGTTCCCAGGGGAGAAGGTAGGCAGGAAGGAGACAGTGAGCTGAGATTTTGCAGCACAGGTGAGGATGCGGAAAAGAGCTGTAGAAAAACTCACTCTGACTTTCAAAGGGGAAGAGGTAAGCGAAAATTTCCTAGAGATCCAAAGGAGCCTCTGTAGATACAGTTTGTTATAACTTTGGGAAACCCTGCTGGACTGAGAGCAAGCGAAGAAGAAAGGCTGCGCCATGCCCAGACATAATGAGCAGGGAGGAGATTTGTTTGCAATATTCTTGTTTCACCCAGCAGAACTGTGTTTTCTTTATCTTGCTGTAGTCTGCAGTCCGATAACGCCACCTTTGAAGATCAAAAGGGCTGTTGGTGTTTTTGGAGTGCTTGAAGTAAAAGGTAAAAGCATCTCCATCTCACTCCTCTGAATACCTTAAGGTCTTGTCACAAGGACATACAAATATAGATGTGGGCTTGGAGAGGCCGTTACATTTTGTACCATTGAGGGTTTCTTTTTCCAGAGCTATGTTACAGAATTTTATTTTAATTCCAAACTGGGAAAATTGAGGGTATGCCTTACTTTGAGCTGTTGGTCTGCAGAAATATTGCCGCTATCTTAAAAGGTTATAGTGGCCGTGAAATTGAAGGAAACAACGAAAACATTTGAAGCTTTACAGCCAATCTGGGGTTAAAAACCTGCAATATATAATTTTATGTCCTTCACCATCACTAGCAAATCTAACTTTCAGAATTAGCCTACCTGAGAGTACCTCTATCAGTAGATAGGAATATTTTTCTGGAAGTAATGTTTAATTAAAAAATTCCTGCCAAAGAATATTTATATTTTCACAGGGGCCCTTGTTAGAACTGGAGGCCATAGTGCAGGTTTTGTATACACGCATCCTTTAGAAGAATGCTGAATTATCCCATTCAGTGAGTCACCAAATATATAAATGAAATGTAAGGTATGAAAGCATTACCTGCAATTTTTGTACTGGTGCTGAACTGACACTAATTATGTTACACTTTCACTGATAAAGGAGGTTTCACTTGCAACGTGTAGGATCCTATAAATATATTGCTGAAACCACAGTCACATAAATGCTTGTGATAAAGTATTTTGTCAAAGGTCACAGAACAAGTCTGTGACACTGTGAACTTAGCATAGATCTTGTGGTGGTATTAAGGCTTTAATTTTGTCAGTAGCAAGCAAGGAAATTTTATGAGCAAAGACCTCCCAGGCATTAGCTAATAATAAGAGGAAAAGATCCCCCCATACCCACTATGGCTTTGGTGGAGGACCAGTGGAAATGCTGCTCATTAAGGCAGCTTCCTAGTTAGCATATGTGCAGCTTGGAAGAAGAAAATTAGAGCCCTGGTGATCTGTATGTTGACGTGTTGGAACTGTTTTCACTGAAAACTAAGTGAAAGGTTCAAGTGTAAGAAACTGGCAATGGTAACAGTTTACTAATCACTAGGATGGGTTTGGTCTATGTGGAATTCAGGAATATGGTTTGCCTTAAAGAAAAAGTTTTCCCATAGATATCCATCTAAGTGTGTGGATATGATACACATTTGATCGCAAATTTAGCTTGGGAAAACAAGTGAGTTTGGTCAAATGGTGTGTGGCGACACAATTCTTTGGCAATTTCCATGAGATCACTCATGCCTCTGCCAGACTGAAAGGGTTAGGAGTTAGTTTGAATTGTTGAATTGAACAATAACCTGCTAGCCTTGGTGGAGCTGATTGCTTGATTGATTTGTTTTGGCTTTTTTTTTTTTTTTTTTTTTTTTTTTTTTGGTTAGCAGAGAAATGTTTAATCATGCCTCTCCTTTTAAAGATAACTTTGTGGTTTTCCCTAGAGAGGCTAATCAGAGGGATAAACCTGAAAAGGCAAGAAATATTTAACTACTGCCTTTTCTTCTGACTAGCCAACAGTCCTAGCCAGATGCCTTAACTTCAGAGCCGTCCAAGTAATCAGCCTGGTAACGTCACTGCATTGCACATCAGGCACCTGGCAAGTTGAACACCAACTGCATCCCAGAAAATGTCTGCTAAGGAAGGCTACTTCTGAAAATAACTTTTCAAAACCCGATAGCAAGCCTCACACGGGGCTGAAGACAAACTGCTTTTTGTATATTGCACTGT